TTAGTTAGACAAATCAAAATCAAAAAATTCTTAACTTAACAAATATCTATATATATAATTGTATATGTGTTGCGTCAAATGTGAATTCTTCCTGCAGTGTGTTATTTTTTCCAACTTTAACATTTTGATTTTACCCGGAAATGGATTCATCATCATGTTTTGGAATAACCTACCCTATAAATATCGGACAATTTAGCCACGAACCTATTATAAATATGAATCAAAGATTAACGGCAAAATTATCTACGATTCATGAGATGGGTAATCTAAGCATGCTGGAATACGTTTCCCAACGATTTTTAAAAAAAAATGCGCCCAAATAAAATGATTTAAAAGTTTGGAAAAAAATAACACATTGGGCGCTAACATAATATAAAAATGGGTTAGATATCATGATTTACACAGTGATTAGTTAGACTTAGAAATGTTACTTGGGAGAAGAGAGAACATAAATGACTGCGATGTTTTGGGGATGACCGGTTAGCCACAGGGGGGCGGGTGGACCGCGTGATTGGTCCCAACCCTTTAAGGTATCTTCTTTAAACACTAACAATCATGTCTAATTTTATTCGTAAAGATTGTTATGGTTTATAGTTTTTATAAGAGTTTTTTGTCTTACAACAACAAAAAATATGAAATAAGTTAGGCACTCATTCATTCACGCGTAGAGATTAGGGTTAGGTATATTATATTATATTTGACACATGTTGTTCAGCTGATAAATCTTTAGCAACATCGTCATCTGTTCATATTTGTTCTTCCATAGTTTTAAATAATGGGCATACATACAGCTTCCTGCATTTAATAACACAATAATTTACAAAATTAGTATTTTACACATTATCACTGTTTAAGGGTATAAGCATGTAACAGGAATTGGTTGCCAATTCAAATCTTTCTTCCAAAACTAAGAAGATGAAAGCAAATTTTCGTAATAGCTCCAGACGCATATTACACCTTTAAAGTATTTGTGAATACAAAATTTTTTACCCGAAACATATTTTCCTCGGGGTGAAAAGTTCAGGTGGGAGAGGGTTAGGTGGTTAAACCCCCAAACCAGCCCCTTGCGCCACTCAATGAAATGGCGGTAGGTTATATATACAATGTACATATATGTTTGGGGAAAAAAGGTCATCCTCACTCTACCTAAAAATTTGATCAAATAATATAATGGATTTACCAAATGCGCTTTTAGGGAAGTTTGAGCAACTCCGTGAAGTTGGCCGATGGAAGCAAATCATATGTCATTTTTTTAGTGCTTCGTTAGTCCTTGTCAGTGCTTCAACCGAATTCCAAGGCGGGAAAAAAATGTTACAAGCAAAAAATAAAAACTTGTGCCAACTTCACCCTTAGAAGTCGGTTGAAAGTGCTAACGATTGAAAAAACGGCGAACTCCACATTTTAGCCAGAAAAAAACATATTGCCTAAAAGCTTCTAGATTTCGATAATATATGTTCTAGAACCTTTGTTGCTTCTATGAGCAAGAATCTTCAGACTCACGTAATATTTTTCTTGAATAAAAATATTGAGTCAGCAGTTTTTTAAAAATCGGCTCAAAAACGAGCAGTTTAACAACTCTACCATGAAATATATGTCAGAGACCTGCAGGACCGACCCCAAGCCCGGCCTTTTCTTTAATTTATCCGAGCCGGTCCGGGCCTGATATTTTAAAACCGAATATTTGAAATCGTCATTATTAGCAGTAAAAATCAAAAATAAATAAAATATTTTCAAAAAATTTATTAAATTCTAATTATTTTATACTCTCACATTACTTTATTAAGTATAATTTATTGGCAATTCGATATTTTGGAATGGATAACGTGTCACGTGACATGATACGCGTTTTCCGATCTTGCGTTGATTCTTTTGTTAATCCCTCTTTTCTTGGACTCCTCTCTTGGTGTCGAAATATATTATTTTTTAATCATCTGGCGTTTTGGATTTATTATCGTAAGGATTATGATATGATAAATGGATAAAGAGCCAAAAAAAAATGTCTTGTGCTCCTATTATCTTTGTATTAATATGATTTCTTACAATTTGGTGATGATAGTGCCATTCCGACACAATAAGTATTCCTTCCCCTTTCATTACCGTTGAAAATATTTTCTGGAATTTTAAAATAGGACATTCCGATTTTTGGCGGGAGAAAGGAAAAGTTGTGCACACACATAATAACCGACTTATCAAAATTTATATAAAAAAAAATTGATATAGATAGATAAATAGATATATATATTTATTTTTTAAAAAAGTAACTTGAGAAATAACTAGTAACTTTTGCCGTTACATTTAAAAAAAATATATATGACTAGTTAACGGGGGGTCGAAATTTTATTTAAAAAAAAAAACAATATGGACCACGAAGAAATAAATCCGCGGAGCTTTAATCCAGGAAACTTCTACGCCTCCCTAGGGCCAACAACCGACTTGTGTATTTCCGTCGGCTCGTTTTGAGCCGATTTCCGGAAAAAAAATATTACGTATTCCTTATACGATTTGGCTCATGGATGGCACAAAGGCTTGAACGTTCTTCTAACTAACCGAGTCCCTAAGCAATATTTTTCCGGCTTAAAATATCGAGTTATAGCCGTTTTTACGAATCGGCTCAAATCGAGCCGTTCGACAACACTATCCGAAAACCATATAAACCCTCTCAAAAGTTTTACCCCCCCCCCCTCTCCTCTCCTGTCAAATCGAATTGGCGGATGAAATCCAACTCACCCCTCCCATTTTATTCAAATGAATGGCGTCTTTATGACCATCCCCCCCCCATATAATTTTAAGCGCCATCTTGTATCATGACCCCCTCCCCCCACCCCATAGTATATGTCTCTGATTTAGTACATGTAAGAAATCAAATCAGAAAGGAAGGAAAAAAAATCCTAAGAAATCTAGTAATTTTGAATAAAACCCCGCCAAATTTCATGTTAAAAGAGTTTTCATTAATCTTCTTATATGGAGATGAGCGTTTTCAAAACATAATGGCGCTATTTTATTTTTTTTTGAATATACAAATCTATCGTGCCGGAGATTATGATTCCCGTAGTATTTACTTCAGAAGATTATTTATTTGTTTTTTTTTCCTTACGTGCTTATTTCCGGGATTCATGGAAAAATTATAATCTAACAATTTTATCGCAAAATTTTTATCAAAATCCCAAACTCTTTAAAATGTGAATCTAACCAATATTTTTGCTGACAATTTCTCATTTTCGCCATCATTTTATAACTTGAGGATCATTATCAAATATTTTGTTAAAATTGAATGTTTTTTTTTGTTTCTGTTTTCGAAAAAAACAAATTTGTTATTTGTTTTTTTTTTGTTTTATATATTTTGTTTTGTCGTTTTTTTTTAAACATTTTCTTGGTATAGTAATATTGTCAAAAACCTCGATTTAGACAATTTTTTTTTAAAAAAAAGGGGGAGGGGTAGACCGGGGTAAAACGATTGGTATTTTACATTTTTTTTACCTCACAAAAGAGAACAAATTATATATTTATATGTTATCAATCTTTCTACCTTTAATACTTTAGGAGATGTGATTAATTATGCAAACATGTGTCATTTTTGCCATTTTACCCCGGCGCCAGGGCATAGTGACTAAGCGTCAGGGGTAAAATGGTTAGAATAAAATTGAGCATAACTATATCGTTTTATTGAACCTAATATTATCAAAAATAGCGCATTTTGAATGTTCCCCCTTTGCCACCATTCATAAAGTATTTATTCTAAATAACACCCAATATTTTTGCCAAAAGGTTATCTTTTTATGTGGTGCCAGACGTTAATATTTTTAAAAAAATTACCTAATTTTACAGCTTGAATCGGACCTAGCATTGTAACCATTTTACCCCGTAGCAACTTTATACCCCAAGGTTGATATATATTGTGTGAATCGTTATAGCGTGTCTTTCAGTTAAGCTATAAACTTCCGATACATTTTACTTTATAGTTACGGTTTTAAAGGAACAAGTATTCAAGTTTTTAAATTCCTAGCTCTTAAAAGGCTTTTTTTTGCCAAAATTTGTCATACCGTAGGGTAAGAAAATTGTATATATAAAATAGGTCTTCACCACAATCAACTTTAAAGCCCCTCTTACGCTCGGTCAAGAAGGGTTAAGGCTCTATGTAGCGTTATCGTTTTGCCCCGGTCTTCCCTAATTACCTAAGCTTTTTATAGATTTCGCCAGATGAGCCAAAAAACATCTATCCCATATTTTGTTCGAATTCCCAAGACAAAAAAATTTTTAAAAACTAATCCCAAAATAAGATATCTTAACAAAAAAAATGATATTTATGAAAAATAAATTAAATTCATTTATTTTTTGAATTATTTATCAAATCTAATATTAAAAAACATTTTTTTTGGCATACCAATGTATTCACCGTTTTGACCAAAATATGTTATTTTGCTATTTTTGATTTAAAAAAAAAATATTAAAATTAAAAATTACCATAATTTGTATTTTAAAATTTTGGTCTAAAACCTCAAAAAAAAGGGGAAAAATAATACAAAATTGCATTTCGATTTATTACTTGTTAATTAAGCGTAAGTGCCAAGAACACGTGACGTAATGCGAATTCTTGAACATGCCACAATAAATTAGTTCCCAAATATAATTCCTTATTTTAAGGGAGGGGGTACCAACCCCCTCCCCTTATCCAATTAGAGATCAGCTAGGGTCCGGCAGTCTCTTTTTGGGAATTTATTGGAAAATTTTATAAGGCTATTTTGTTCGAAGGGCTCATGTTGCCATCCCCGCCGACCCTCGTGACTCAGGCTAACTCCTCCCTACCCACCCCTCACCCCCAACACTGTTAGAGAACTCTGGAGTTTGGCGCCTTTTTTTTGTTATTTTTGATTTTCTGGAAGAAAATGAAAGAGTGGGGAAAAGCATTCATTCAAAACTACCAAGTCGTTAATCAGATATGCTGTTTTTTTTAAATAAAATATATATATAATTCCTTTAAACATTACTATTTTTAACCACAGCGTTATAGCGTAGCGATCGTTACCCAACAGTAAACGCGACCGAGAAAAAAATTGGAGATTATATAAAGCCCGGTTTATTCGTAGCTTAGGAAATCGGAAAAACTTTATTCTTATACGTCAATCATAATCCATAGGAAATATTTATATTTATGTAGTAATTAGCACACCATACTTTACTCTTCTGGATCTCAAACAATGCAAGCAATCTCTTTTTTTTAATGATTTCTACAGAATCCAAAATTAAAAAGACGGCCTTACCAGAATCTCTCGCTTGATTGGTCAATAATTTCTCATTATTGATTGGTTAATATTTTGTCAGTACGAGAAATTGTGTACACAGACGATACTCGAATTAATATTTTTTTAAAAAAATTCACTAAATTCTGAATAATATCATCTATCCTCTAACATTACGCGACGTCACGTGATGTGAATGATTGGTCCACATATTTTTTATCGTTTGGCTAATCTCGAAAGTAAAATATATATTTATACATTTTTATTTTTATGTTTTTTTTGAAGAAATATGGTTAAAAATTCTTTAAGATCTTAATTAAATATGGCCTTGGGGCGAATTTAATTAAACCATTTTTTTAAAGAAAAAGAAAAAAAGAAAGAAAAAAAGAAAGAAAGAGAGAGAGAGAGAGAGAGAAAGGAAAGAAAGAAAGAGAGAAAGGAAGGAAGGAAAGAAAATAATGATAATAACTCATTTTTCGATTCATCATATCATAAACTTTTTTTTTCTTCAGTTTCCTCCTTCAAATCTCGCGAACCATGACGGCGGAGGAATTATCCCTGATTTCCAGGGATTTTTTTAAAGTTTGCCGATTCTTGGGAGAGGTTATCAACAAAAATGCTTTACCTCTGCTATCGGGCTCAGTATCCATCTTGCTAGATACCGTGTTGGCCTTGAAGGGACAAATCGCGCAGGATCCGCATAGCTTGGGTGACAGTACGCTCGGACCTAGTCCCGCAAAGTTTAAGAACATATTTAATAAATAATTTTTTAGCCTCTTTTCTCTTTTTTTTGTTGGGGCAAAATGGACACATTTTGTTACCGTGAAAAAAGAATCAACCAATTTTTTAAAAAATATTTGAATCACGAAAGATCTACTTTTATTATGGCTTGTCCAAAACTTTTTTAAAGAAATTCGAAAAGTTTCAAAACTTTCGAAGAATCGTAAGTTGTTAAATTTTTGAAATTTCGAAAGTTAGTGAGTTTTAGGAGACAAAGTTTGGAAATTTCTGGCAAGATTCGAATAAAAATATTGCTCGAGCCAACCAAAAAAAAAATCTTCAGAGATCAAAGATTCTGACGAGTTCGTGAAAATTCCCTAAATCCTTTTAACTTTCATTTAAAATAACAACACGAAATATTATGATTTAGAAATCCTATTGGGCTATTCAAGTGCCTCTCCGCCTTCGTTAAGTGGTGCGACAAGATTCAGTTTCATCACGTGATCGGTGGTCTAGAAAGTTGCGAAACCTTCGATAACCTCCTAACCCAACAAACCCAATTTTCAATGGTGGAGATGAACGAGGGTCTGAGACTGTTGCATTGTTTGGAGACCGAATTTAAAGTTTAATATACTTCTTATCTACCCTTTTTTTCCTTCTCCAACAGAAAACTTTTGCCAAAAAAACGAATAGAAAGAAAAAGATAAATAAAAAGAAAGAAAAGAAAAGAAAAGAAGGAAATCCAATTCTCCTATTTAAATTCCATTCTACATTTTTTTTTTCAATTAACTCATCCTCTTCTATTTTTATCCCCGAATTTGATCGCAAATTTTTGTCGCCTTTTTTTAAAAAAAAGAAAAGAAAAAAACCACCTAACACTTTCCTATACGAACCCAACAAATAAAAGTTTAAAATCTTCCCTTCCCTCCCCCCGCCATAAACCTTGGGGTATTCAACCCCCCCCCCCTCTTGTATCTCTCTCCATTTATCCGTTACTTTTATCTTCAGTTCAACTCCAAATTTTACCATCATTAGTTCCCATAGATCCTATATATAATATATATCTATTTTTATTCCCCTTAATTCATGACAGCCTTCCTCCAAAAAGGTAGGTATTGTGATATACGGTAGACTTTACTCTTTAATTGTTGTTCCTTATGATCGCCTCTCTTGAACCCTGGCATGCCATTCTAGCGTTTGCTAAATTAGCTTAGTTGGCCCAACTATCGCTCTTAAGACGAAGCCTGATGAAAATTCGGCTAAGCCATTTTTGGAGTCGGAATAAGATGATTTTACAATATTATTTAATGTTTACAGAAGTTTTCTAAAAATTATACCATATTGTATTATAACAAAGGGTATTTCTAACCTTTTGTCTAAAACTCGCAAATAATCGAATAATTGCTGTACTGCTCAACCCCGCGCGTAGGCGTCAAAGTAAATTCTTCAATCCTAATATTTTTCTTCCCCTTCGAATATTAGTTTTTTTTTTGTTTAAAAAAGAAATCATTTAACATTTAGGTCACCAGTAACAAAAGTTATAAGTGCCTGTTAGGTCTCGACTTTTCATAAACCAAATGACTGCCAATCAATAACAAATTTTATTTAAGTCGAATTAATACAGAGTTACAGAGTCCTAACACACCCCCCTTCCTTCCCCATTTTGATGAGCAACATATGACTATGTATATGTTGATCTCCCCCTCTGAAATTTCGACGATAAATTGAATTGTACCCCCTCCCATATGTTCGAAGATTCTGCATTTTTAGGTGTGTTATCTTTCTATCTTACTTTTTCATTTCTCAAAATATTCTCCCCCATTCATTCCTTCACAGGTGTCAGCCTTCCATGTTCATGTTGCCCCTTCCTATCACTCTCACCCCATATTATCATTTTGCCCCGTTAACCTCACACCCCATTCGCTTCTATTTTATTCCTTCTCCCAAAACAATTAAAAAATAAACTCAAATATGCCTAAAATTTATACAAAAATCTCTTAGTTTTTTTTTTATTCTATCCAACACTCACAATTTGTCATTTTTAATCTATCCTTTCTTATATATTTTTTTTTTAAATTAAAATACCGAAAAGGATTTGATTGAAGGTTATTTCAATGAGATTGAATACACCTTCAAAGATTCAAACCGAGCCTCAACTCTCTCAAATAGTAGCGGTTTCGCCGACAGACTAACCTCGATGGAGAGCGTCTCTAAAATGTAATCTTTTTAAAAATAAAAATGTTTAAAATAATCGATATAATATACTCAAAAACGTAGAAATAGTCTATCCAGCCCCGTGAATAGGAACTCCCTTTCTTCTTACTCGTCCTCGAATGATGATTGGTCAATCGTTTCTCCCGTCAACCATGTCTCGACCAATCGTCGTAATCAACCGATAGACGATATGGCTCTCCCATCGCCCAATCCTAATATCCCTATTTATGCGAAGCAAGGCGAGCAATTAATCAATAACGATTTTGATACTGTTAATAAAAATTCTTTGATCTACAGGAATTCGTTCTCGAATCTTAAAGGCTACTTGAATGGTTTTTCAAGTTATCAGAATGGTGGTTATAAACCAAGGACCAACTTCGAGGGCTTAAATCTTGATTGCCGCTTAATCGACAATGACGCTACTACAACTATCAACAGAGTTACGCCCACCATCGACTATGACAACTGGTCACCTTCTCAAAAGGATATTCGGTACATCAAAAGAGACAGTGTCAATCACGAAGACCCTGATCTAGGTAAAGCGAATTCCTTTAAATTTACCGAAAAATCTTGCGGGCAAAATGATTCGCCTTTTAATTCACCTTTTAATTCACCTCTTCGTCAAAATAACACACTCGGCAAAGCCGATTTTTCCGATAATCGGGTATCGAATGCTGGCAGCACCGGAACGAATAATACCGGGATGATTCCCGAGACCTTACCGACCTGGGTCAGGGATTTGGTGGAAAAGGGGGATACATGGGGCATATTTGCCAAGCAACCCAAAATTTTGAACCACTCTCACAGCTTTAGCATTGTTAGCAATGCTAGACCCGGCCCCCCTACGTTGAATGATATTAAGGTAGTTAAAACTGACAGTTCCAGCCATACGCAAAATCAGTACGGCCAACAAAGTCCCGATAAATTTAAGAGAAGGATGACATCCATCAATAAAACTCCCGAAAGACAGGAAAGCTGCGAAGGGAAGAATAGAAAGTCGGCTACGGAGATATCAATAGCCAATAGCGTGAAAGCAATCAGTGTCAAGAATTGTCAAAATATTGTGAATCAAAATGGCGACACAACAAACACTTTCAGTTTTAATATCCCCAAACCTGATTACCTAGTTGTTTCCGATTCCGGTAGCAATCCCCTTCCCAGAAATATCCCGTTAAACTATCAAACACCCGCCAAATTTAATTTCCGCGCACACGGTGACGCTCAAAATATTAGCGACCTGTCACTTTATAATCCGAGCTCATCATTTTCGAACACGAATATTAATAAGAAGGGTACTATCCAATCTCTCGATCAATTCATCAGTAAAACCGAAGTTTCGTCCAACATCTCAGCTGATACGAGCTTGCCTAAGATATCTCCACGCCATGTGATCGAGAAGGAACGTTTCCAGAGGGCACGGGCGGATAATAATAAAAATGATTTCGAAACGAACGTATTCGTTAAGGAAGAAGGGAGTAGAGGTCATTTAAGGGCCGAGGCGAAATTGGTGAGAAAAACCGTGCTCGAAATTACGGTACCCGACAATTGCGATCCGGAAAAGATCCTAAGCGACATCCGTGCTAGATTACAACAAGCACCTTACGATATCGGGCGCGTGACGGGAAATCGCGATTGTGGGATCACCGTCGATGATGTGGCGAACACTGATGGTATCGGAAGAAGTATTAATGCGAACTCGGACAACTCGAAGCCCCGAATCAACGACAGGACTCTGGAGAGGGATGCCGTCAATAAGCCCGGTACATCGGTCGATGGGAAGTGGGGTACTTATTATCATATTAATTATTTTAATAATAGGGGGTCAAAGAACACGGGGTTATGTAGGGAAGAGTCTAACTCTTATTGCTAAAGCTTTTTTTTTCATAAATCTTTCATTATTTTCACAATCCCAATCTCTCTCAAGACGAAAAGTATTTGGAGCAATTGCTCAAAGAGATGAAATACAAATTGAAAGACGAAAATCGCCAAACTCTCAAGTCCGCGGCTCGTGACAAGACGCCTAAACCTAAGAACAAATTTACCGCCGATAAAGAAGTGATTCAAAAAATCACGCTCAAATCCGTAAGTTCCCCGACGGCTCGAATTTCCGCCAAGCAAAGGAACGATATAAATGAAGTGATATCTAGCTTACCTTACCCTCAGCACATGGTGAAATCTTTAGGGGAGGATTATGATCGCCTCGGTGATGGGGGGACTATACTTTCCTCCCGCGGGTATACCGAAAATCGCGAAGACGACATTTATCGCGCGGAGAAACCCGTAACCGGTAAAGACCAAATTTATCGTCTCCCGATCGCGAAAAATTTTGGTCGCGAGGACGTTAAAACTAACCGCGAGCGAGATTTTGGCCGCGAACAAGATTTTACCCTGAAATCCCGCAAGGATAGTAACAATCACTTTCAATTTCTCCCAAAGGATGTCGATTATCGCCAAAGTAATCGCGGAGATCTTAACGGAAATCGGGCCTTAATTTCTTTCGAAAATCAATCCAAAATCGATGACGGATCCGTGTATCAACGATACTTCCGCCAGAGGAGCGTCGTTTCTAACGACGGGATAAATTTGGACGATAAATTTAAAAATGGTTATTTCAAAAAAAAAACATAAAATTCAATTCAATTTTATTATTCTTTAGGGGGCTGGTATGATCCCTCGAACCGCCCCCCCCTCCCCCTTTATTTCTTGGAAAGTTATTAAACTTATTATGTTGTCTCGCTTCCAATTTTTAAATGCTTTAAATTTTTTTAGTAAATTCTAAATATTTGGGTTTATAATTTATTTATTTTCAAACCAAAAAAAATGAGACAAATTTTAAATTCTTATAATATATTGATAAATATCGCTATTTATCTCAGGATCAAAATAGTAAATAACTTCGTTAAATTCCACCAGGAACCTTTTTTTTTTAGGCTAAGGTGTTTATCAATTCTACCGTTCATCTAATTTTCTACGAGAATAATCATCAAAATATCTTTATAGTTTATTAAATGTATTAACGATATTAGATACATACACATATATATACACACATTTTATGATGGGGTGTATTCATTATTCATTCGAAAATAAATTATTATCTTATTTCTGCTAAGTGCTGCTACATCACCGGCACCCTTAGTATATGCAGTTGTGTTTTCTACCAGTATAATTTTTTTTTTAAGTTTATGAGTAATTTATTTTAAGGTATCTAAGGATGAAGAGCCGTTAGACTCTAATGCAGACAAAAATGTCCTTTATAAAATTACAGCAGACCTGTAAAGCAAAAGAATCTTGGATATTGTGGATGTATCCTATATTTTTAAAATTGTATAGTTGAATTAATATTATATAACACTGTCATATTGGGATATGGAATCCAAAAGATAGAAAGAAGGAAGGAAAGAAAGAAAGAAAGAAAGAAAGAAACCTCTTATTTCAAACAATTTTTCCATGAACTTTAGAACTACTTCCCTGTATTGATATTAAAACTTTTTATGCCTGAAAGTGCCCTAAATTCTTAGGGTAAGATACTCTCTGCACATACTGTAATACACTTCCGGTTAAATTGTATTCTTAGATTTTTAAAATCGCCATCGGGTAAATGGATTTAAAATTCGAGGGGTTTCTATTTCCCCACTCATTCATTCCCTGTCCCCAATACGACACATACGTAATAAACGTAGGGGAGAGAGGGAGGGTTGCCTAGCGATCGCGCTTTTCGTAACGATTGATGATTTGCAAAATCTACCCAACACTTTCAATTTTTTTTTCTTCACATAACAACAATAATAATGATACTATTGATAATTGGTTTTATTGACTCTTTGTTTTTTTTTAATAGTGGCGACCTATTTGCAAACCATGGCTGAATACTCCGTGCCGGATCCTTCCATGCTGTATCGAGAATCGACGGAATACTTCATCAGCGACATACAGGTATAGCGAGCGCCATTTTCTTTTATATCTTTGTTAAGGATATTTCCGTTTTACCCGCATTATTTATAGAACCTCGGCCTCGAGTACTAACCCCGCGCGCCCAAGGGTTATAACGTAAAACTAAACCCGGCCCGCATTTAGATAACTCTTGCCCCCCCCCTCGCTTCAGGTATCTGTCGCGGATGTTTATCAATACATTTATTAATTGTATTTTACTAGAAACCCGACCCAATGTGGGGATGTCCGACTCGGGCCGACACATTCTCGACCGGATATCAGACTAGTTTGAACTCTGACCTTTTAAAGAAAGTAAAATTACCGGAAACAGATCAATTAGATCAAATTAAAAAATCGGAATCAGGTCGGTGTCAGGCCATAAAAATAGGTTCGAATTGAGAGTTATTATTAACCAATAAGAATTAGCGGGTAAAGAAATAATGTGTAATACATGCGATTTATTCGCTTAATTCGTCGTTGCAATCTGTTTCCTCTTTCCCTTTTTACAATCTCCTAATATTTTAACGTAATCGACTTCGACAGAATCACTGGAACAAGATTAGCCCGAACAAATGCCCTCAACACCTTTTCGAGGATATGATCGAAGATTTTGGTTCCGGCAACGATTACCTGTCTCATTACGGGACCAACCTTCGAGACCCGAATTCTCCGCCCCTGTCGACTCATCGTCTTACGATGACGGCAACGACGCCGCCCAAATCCAAGTCCTTCCGGTTGGAAGGGAAGGAGAGAACGATATTCACGGCCAAAACGCCTAAAACAAAACTGAATATCGAACCGTCGAATTACCCCATTTCGTCTAACGATCATAGACAGGATGTATATCATTTTTTATAAAGTTGTTTTGTTTTCTCTTTCTTTCTCCGACTTTCAAAAGACATATCTATTTTGTTATATATATCTATTAATATTATCTTAACGTTTAGGATCATTACGACGTGTCAACGATTTATCATCCTGCCATCAAAAAAATAGGTAAAACTGACATTCTCACGTTATTCTTTCTTGTGACATATGATAATATCTAGACCGACGATGCATTCATCAAAAGTGTACATCAAAGAAAAACAGCTGGAAACGCCATCTTGGTTACCCGTAATCGTTATTTTCAAAAAAAAATTTAAAACGGAGAGGCCATTTTATTCCTACGTTCTGACGCAAACTTTGTTAAAGAATTGTCTGATCAGTCGAGATAATAAAGGAAGCAAGTTATCAATTTTAATAGTATTTTTTATTTTAACCTGCGAATAATTACCATACGGATTACCAAAATGGCGGGTCCAGCTGATTCGCATTCAACGACGCTGAATGCATCGACAGTGTCAGATGATAGATTATTATTGTACTCCGCGCCACCGGTAGTTTTTTTATAATAAAATCTAATATTTACGATTATTGATATATATATCTAGAAGAAAAAGAGTATAACACCTCCGCCCAACCTTCTCTGGCCTCGTCCTCCTCTCCTACGTTCTCCGTATCCCCCAGCCTTTCAAGTTCCGATTCGATCACCACCAACATTCTGGACTTGCAACCCAAAGCCGATTTAGTGTTCAAGAAAGAGGATCTAAAATTTATCCCCGTCGACAGGGAGATCGTTAAGAGCGGCACCCTGCCGGCTTTCCTGGTTTACGCTACTTGCCCTTTCAAAAACGGTAAAAAGTTCCTTCAATAATATTTTTTTTTACCTTCTTTCCGCTTTGATCCGCTCTCTACCCCGATCTCGGTTAACGGTTAAGGTTGGATTGGTTACGATGGCGGAATCCAAAAGGGGGAAGCGGAAAGTTATGCCCACCTAATAAAAATAAAATCAATTCCTATCCCCCCCCCCACACCCCAAAAAAATGAATTACAACTCCAAATAAATTTATGACGAGTTAGGAAATCAAAGTTCCATCTCCTCCCTGCCTATTGGTTGGACTTATATGGTCCGGGTCAATACCTTGGGATTAAAAAAACTAAATAATTTCTGCCGAAACGAACTCTAGTAAAAATCGAACCGATCAATTAGTATTAGGGTTGGAACAGAATATGTTCCAGAAGGTATTACATTGGGGTATGAAAATTTTTTTTTCGCTGAAACACTGTAACAAAATCAAACTGATCAATTAATGATGGGTTATTTAATTTCTTTAATTTTACAATTTAAAGGTTACCCATTGATTGGAATGGCACGGATAACTCATTTCTTATATCCGGAAATAATATTAGGCAAGTCTGACGATTTTGCCCATAGAATGGCACATATTTATTGTCGATATCTGCGAGACTTAGACCGATATTTTTTCCGGCTACAATAATGAGTTAGCCCTTATTTAGAAATCGGCTCGAATAGATTGGAATACGATTTGTTTAATTTTTTTTTAAAATAAATATCAGATTTTCTCTTCCAAGAAGCTTTTTTGGTCATATACCGCACATTCGTGACTCCTCACCATCTCATAACTCTCCTCTTGTCTAGACTCGATCATTTCATGTCCGTCCAAAATGTCGCCCCCGTCAATAAGAGAACCTTCAGATGCACTTTCTCATTTTTGTACAGGATATTGGACGATGTCAGGTTATTTAATTTTTTTTTATTATTATTACTATTATAGGGTACACAATTTCCCATTTGGGATAATGGGAAATCACTTCTCTTATCATTAATTGGGGGGAGGGAAGCCATTTATTAAATTTGAAAGAAAAAGAATATCTGATTTGACCAGAAATGTATTCCGGTATGACGTCACAGCTTATTTTAAACTATTTTTGCTATAAACCTTTGGACTACCAAAAGTTTATTCCTAAAATTGCCGGAGAATTACAAAGTAGGTACTCTCTGCATTTCCGGGTAAATCCGATGTTTTTTTTAAATTTAAGCTTCATCGGGAAAAGTATTTTACAATTGAGAAATTCTGAATCTCCTGGGATTCCATTACTCACATGACATGCACATGGATAATCCTAAGTATCTAGAGATTCAATCTCTAAGTAATTGTTGAATTCGCCATGGCAATGGTAATAGCTAGGGAGTCGGCATATGCATGCTCCGTGAGTTCTGTTTGCTTGCAAGATTAATATATTTTTTTTTTGAATTTGTTCTTCTAAAGTCACTCGGAATTGGTTGAAGCTCCGACTCCCTACCTCTATCCACAAGGGCCCCTATTAACTGCTCGCTTAAATGATAAGATAAGCGAATTGATTGACTTCGGGGAATTGAAATTGGCTAAAATACTCAGGGATAAATTGCGGGAACGGACGTCAAAATTGCCTCCCGACTCTCTCAATCGATCGTTATCCGACAACAACCTCGCGAAGGATAACGCGGGTAAAAAGTGACTTCTTCTTTTTTTTTATAAAACTAAAATGATTGACGTCGATATTATTTTATCTAGTCCCTCCCTTGTCAGAACCCAACCTCAACCATCAAACCCCTCCTATCTCGGTCTCTCAATCCCTTAACAACGTGTTCGTCAACTCCTCGGGCACGATTCTGGATAATCTCCCGGGAGATATCCTGAGCTTTAAATGTAAGGACTTGGCCGAACAGATGACCCTGCTCGATTCCGATTTATTTAACCAGCTACCCATCAAAGAATGTTTGGTGTGGGCCCTCGAGCGTAACGAAGCGTTGACGCCCCATTTAGCAGCGTTTACTAAGCATTTCAATGACGTATCCTACTGGTAATTATACATTTTAGAAAAAATAAAATAAATATTTAGATTGGATGGATGGGTGGATGGATGTGTGATAGATAGATAGATAGATAGATAGATAGATAGATAGATAGATAGATAGATAGATAGATAGATAGATAGATAGATAGATAGATAGATAGATAGATAGATAGATAGATAGATAGATAGATAGATAGATAGATAGATAGATAGATAAGATTTGATTAGATAGTGAGAGAGATAGAAGGAAGAAAAGAACGAAATAAAAATGAAAGGTGAAATAGAAGAATAGTGAGTTTAAATCTAAGCGTTGGCTTCCCCCTTATCTCCAATTTATCATCGGTTTCTGTCTCTCGCTTTGTTTAGAAATGCCTGGAAACAGGGATTTTAGATATATGTTAAACTTTTTTTTTTAATCACAGGTATCGCACGTACATCCTAACCAGGCCGACCGATTTGATCCGCCACAAAACTTTCCGGAAGTGCCTTAAAATCATGAAGCACCTGGAACGGGATTACGGAAATTTTAACTCGATTCTAGCTTTGCTTTCCGCTCTCGATAGTTCACCCGTGACCCGAGTTCTCAAACCCGGTAAATTGCTTTTCGGCGGAAAATATACGCTTATTTTGTATTCTTCATTATTTCTTCCTTTTTTTTGATAGTTATAACTATATTTAAATGCGCCATAAATTTGGGAGGTTAGGATCACAATTGATTAAACATATGTATACTTCTTAAAGACAACTGGTTTAATTAAGGCTCATATTAAATTTTTTCCATCATTATGCCTTGATCCCAATAGGTAATACATCGTTCTCCGATAAATGTGATAGTCAGACAACCAATCATCATGGCCATAATTCGCATCATACGCCTCATCACGGGGAAGACAAGGGTGGAGGCGGTGCTGGTAGCGCCGGATTTAGCGTGAGCGAGACCGAAGAAATTGAAAGATTTCGATCTCTGATAGACAGCGCGGGTTCTTTCAGAAATTATCGCAAAGCCTTAGCCTCAACTCAACCCCCCTGCATTCCTTACATGTTTATATCGAGAAAAAAAAAATGATAAATAAATTTTCTAACAGAGCTAATATCTACAACCCTATAGAGTTTCCACTGGAACAAAATTTAATTTTAAATTATTGTTATACCGATAATATCTTCTTTAGGCCTCGATTCTTAGAGGTTTTTATAACTCTTGTGTAAAGAGTACCCTCTTTATTGAAACATTGCTTTTATGAGACCTTTTAAAGAGAATTTGATTTTTTTAAAGTTAATTCTAGCTAAATAAAAACAAGAGTGATTTCATAGTTTTTCCTGGTGCATTGATAACACTATTATAGCATCTAAGGGTGAGGAGAAGGATTGGATCCCAACATATGTTTTTATTTTTAAACTGTCGTCCTTGATTTTTATATATGTGATTTAAAATATAATTTAATTTAAGCTATTATTTTACAAAAAAAAATGAATGTTTTCAAATAGTGGATTGGTTTTGCAAGATTTGACATTTATAGATGTTGGGAATCAAAATTTTACCCCCGATGGCCACATAAATTTTACCAAGTGTTGGCAATTTTTTACCGTCCTCCAAAGTCTCAAACGATATCGAGAAAAGTTTTTTTTTGTTTTAATTTATTATATATATATCATATGTTACCGTTAAGTGACGTATGTCAGTCAATTAGCGTATTGACCGAAAACCTCAGGGCAATGCGTATATTGGCCTAAAAGAATGAAAGAAGAAGAAAATTTTTATTTAAATTTATTGTGATTTTCTTATAAAAACAATTTCATTCAATTCACGTATGATTTAAGAAAGGAAAAATCATTGGACAAGATAAATGATTCATCAATAAGAAAAAAGCGAAATATATTTTTTACATATTTACCTAGGGGTGTGAGTGGGAATGGGGGGGGCATGATCTTTTAAATTATTTTTTATAGCATTTCTTATTGATTTTTATGATCCATCGTTTTTTGTATCTTTAGATCTTACAAGATACTGCCGAACGCCAAAATATTGGAATTTTTTGGCGGTTTTACGAACCACCTATCCGAGGAAGAACTTTGGAAAATGTCGGAATCCATTAAACCTAGAAATCGTTAGTTCCAAATTATTCCGTTACGCCTCCGCGATTTATCATGATGCCAAGATTTATTTTAGTCCCTTTTTTTTAAATATAATTATTTCTTTTATTTGCTCACCAATCACGAGTATTAAATTTTTTTTTTTAAAATAATCTTCTCTCCAACATTAATTTGTCCTATCACAGACATCCATCCTAAAACTCCAAAAAATGTTTATGATTATCGCAGAACTTATTTTATTTTATCTTAAATTTTCCAATTTGCCCCAGTTCATCATAACCCCGTTTTCTTATCATTTGCAAAATCGAATTGATATTCTTGCAAGGACTTTAATCTTTCCCATTTTATTTATAAAAAAAATAAATAACCGAACATTTGGGAGGTTAAGGGAAATAAGGCTTTATTTTTCGGAAAGGAAATATAGTTCTTTACAAGTATTAAATGATAAATCTCATTAATTTTTCTCGCGATTTTGATTGGACATTGTAAAATTATTATATATATATATAAATGAATATCTTTTATAATTTAATCAAAAAAGCTATTTTTTATACACATTTAATATATTGAAATTTATATAATGTTAATATTTATAAATATTAATAGAAATGGTGCATTTAATTGACACTAGCGGAATTAGCCTTCTTTGACCCCCCCCCCCCCCTGTTTGCGTCATTATAATATTTTATGTTTTGAATATATATATACATAAATATTATAGTAAAAAAATAAGATACTATTATTTAATTATCATGAAGAATTATATATTCTTTTTTAAAAAATAAAACTTAATTTATTTTAGACAATTCAAATCTTTATTCTGACAGATATCCCATTTTTTAAAAAAAACAAGAATAGTGTTGTTAAACGGCTCGTTTTAGCCGCTTCTGAAAAACTGCTAACTCTATAATTTAGGCTAGAATAAAATTGCTTAAGCCTCCAGATTTCACTAATAACCGTCTAGACTTTTGTACCATCTATGAGGAAACTCTTCAGGCTTGCGTAATATTTTTCTGGATAAAATACTGAGTGCCGTTTAACAACACTACAAGAATATATATAATTAATAATGTAATTCAAATGAGTATAACTGATTTCAGATATTTTTTTATACGAGCATTGTATTTTAAATGTTCCTTAATCCAGAAAATTTGCGACTAGTTGATTTGCATTAATGGGCTCTAAAGTATAATTAAATCCTTGGATAAGCTGAGTTACGATCACAGGATCCCGATGTCATGTGATCGCAACAGAAATTTTACATGAAAAATCAGGGCTATTATCCTTAAAAGAACAAATGAATAATTTAATATTACTAATTATACTTTATATTAAACTACTTTGAGAAATATTATTTAAATTATATAAGGAAAAAAGATTGGTACTTTATTTATTAAATACAGTAAATCTTGTCTAATTCAAGTTATTGATGATTCGTATAACTCCATAATTTGACTGTCAATCAGATTCCTGTTTAACTATTGTTAGAGTAAAAATTCTTTATAAGTTGTGTAAATGAGTGCCCTAATTAGACAAGTTTTACCTAATATTTTAATGGGGTTGTAAACGCTACTTCAATAAAAAAAACTCGTTGCGCTTAAGAAATGGAACGCATTATCGTTACTCAGGAAAAGGAGCGCGTTACTCGTTACCCAAAAATAATATTTTATAAAAATAAGATCATTTAGCAATAAAAATATTTTAAATTTTTCTATTTTCAAAATTTTGATAAGAATAAACAAGAGCGATAAGTGCTCAGCTGTGCTAAACCACACGTTCAGCTGTTCCAGGTTAAATAGTCGAGTGTTGATTTAGAGTAAATAGTCTACTAATTTAGTTCGCAACTCGACTTATGAACTGGACGAGACGAGAGTAATTCATAGTGTTGTTAATCGACTGAGTCGAAAACTGAGTCAAGTTTTGGGTCAAAAAAATCGACCCAAACTGACTTGAGTTATAAACTCAGGTCATGAACTCAAGTCGACTCGAGTCATAAACTCTCATGAACTCAAGTCGACTCAAGTCATGAACTCAAGTCGACTCAAGTCATCAACTCAAGTTCATAAAATATTCGACTCTAGTCGACTAGAGGAATATTTTATGTACTTGAGTCGTCGACTAGAGGACGAATATTTTATGAACTTGAGTCGTCGACTAGAGGACGAATATTTCAGATCTATTATTATTTATTATTCATTAAGATAGTTTTTATATTTTACTATTTTCGACTTCCAACTTGAGTCGTGACTCGTGAATATAATTATATAGTTGAGTCGACTAGAAGACGAATATTTCTATTTGAGTCGTCGACTAGAGGACGAATATTTCAAATTTGGTATTATTAATTAAGATATTTTTTGTATTTTACATTTCCTACTTTAGACCTTTATGACTCGTTAAGTTATTATAAACTATATAGTTGTGTCGGCTAGAGGATCAATAGATCTATGAACTTGAGTCGACTAGAGGACGAATATTTGAAATTAGTATTATTATTTAAGATATTTGTTGTTATTTACTTTTTACTTTATAGACCTCCAACTTGAGTTGTGAATACAAAATATATAGTTGTCGACTAGAGGACGAATAGTTCTCTGAACTTGAGTCGTCAATTTAAGTCTACTAGAGGACGAATATTTCAAATTAATCATTATTTATTTAAAATATTTGTTCTGTTTTTTACATTTTTTTACTTTAGACTTCTAATTTGAATTGTGAAAACTGAAAAGAATTATATAAATGAGTCGACTAGAGGATGAATATTTCTATTAACTTAAGCCGTCTACTTGAGTCGACTAGAGGACGAATATTTGAAATTTGGTATTATTAATTAAGATATTTTTTGTATTTTATATTTCCTACTTTAGACCTTCATGACTCGTTAAGTTATTATAAATTTTATAGTTGTGTCGACTAGAGGACCAATAGTTCTATGAACTTGAGTCGACTAGAGGACGAATATTTCAAATTAGTTTTTATTATTTAAGATATTTTTTGTTTTTTACATTTTTTACTTTAGACTTTCATGAGTCGTTAATATAAATTATATAGTTGTGTCGGAGGATCAATAGTTCTATGAACTTGAGTCGACTAGAGGACGAATATTTGAAATTTGGTATTATTAATTAAGATATTTTTTGTTTTACATTTTTTACTTTAGACTTTCATGAGTCGTTAATATAAATTATATAGTTGTGTCGATTAATCAATAGTTCTATGAACTTGAGTCGACTAGAGGACGAATATTTCAAAATAGATATTATTATTTAAGCTATTTGTTCTGTTATTTACATTTTAAGACTTCCAACCTGTGTCGTGAATACAAAATATATAGTTGTTGACTAGAGGACGAATATTTCAAATTAGTTTTTATTATTTAAGATATTTTTTGTTTTTTACATTTTTTACTTTAGACTTTCATGAGTCGTTAATATAAATTATATAGTTGTGTCGACTAGAGGATAGTTCTATGAACTTGAGTCGACTAGAGGACGAATATTTGAAATTTGGTATTATTAATTAAGATATTTTTTGTTTTTTACATTTTTTACTTTAGACTTTCATGAGTCGTTAATATAAATTATATAGTTGTGTCGACTAATCAATAGTTCTATGAACTTGAGTCGACTAGAGGACGAATTCAAAATAGATATTATTATTTAAGCTATTTGTTCTGTTATTTACATCTTAAGACTTCCAACCTGTGTCGTGAATACAAAATATATAGTTGTCGACTAGAGGACGAATAGTTCTTTGAACTTTTGAGTCGTCAATTTGAGTCGACTAGAGGATGAACTTCTAATTAATTATTATTTAAGATATTTGTTCTGTTATTTACATTTTTTTACTTTAGACATCCAACTTGATTTAGGAATACAAATTATATAGTTGAGTCGACTAGAGGACGAATATTTCTATGAACTTGAGTCATCAACTAGAGGACGAATATTTTATGAACTTGAGTCGTCGACTAGAGGACGAATATTTCAGATCTATTATTAATTTTGATAGTTTTTGTATTTTACTACTTTCAACTTCCACTTGAGTCGTGACTCGTGAATATAATTATATAGTTAGTTGAGTCGACTAGAGGACGAATATTTCTATAAACTTGAGTCTTCGATTAGAGGACGAATATTTCAAATTAGATATTATTATTTAAGATATTTGTTGTTATTTACTTTTTAATTTAGACCTCCAACTTGAGTTGTGAATACAAAATATATAGTTGTCGACTAGAGGACTAATTTCTCTGAACTAGAGTCTAGTGTTCTTAATTTGCTTGTAAAATTTACGATCCTTTTATGTGCTCAGGCCGACCCTAGGTCCAGACCCGGGGTCCAGACTCGGGGTTCAGACCCGAGGTCGTGTCGTGTAACGATTTAATGAACAAGTTGATTGTCGTAAACGATACTTATTTTAATAGAAATGTCAATCAATTTTTATAAATATATATATATTAGTTTTTAATTAATGAAAGCCAGAGTCATTTCTGAAAAATAAGTTGTTAATTTTTGTGAAAAAGAAATCATTATTTTTTTTACCTGGTAATTTTTTCATGATATTTTTTGTAATGATAAAAACTATGAAATTTAATAAAAAAGTGTTTCCTTATTTTATAATTTCGAATTTAACTCTTTAATTCAGTAGTGTTTCTTTTTGAGTTTATTTTTATATTAGAATTTAGTCTCTTTTTTTTATATAATTAATATTAAGTATTTTTTTAATCAAAACTTTCGTTTAATAAGATAATTGTTTTTGTCATTCGGGTTTAATAAATTTGTCAACATGGTAAGGATATATATATTTGGTCATATTAAAAATAGGTCAATATAGACGGGTTGTTGGTTATTGTCGATTAAAATCATAGTTCAATGTAGACGGGTTTTATAAAAAGTTTGTCAACATGGTAATGATATGGAGAGTTTTCTTCGGTTTGGTTAGTTAAGGAATGTTCTTTGTCTGTTTTGTTAAATGAAGATTTGTGTTAATGTTATCTTATATTAAATAAAGTTATATTTTCAATGTAATCAAAACATGTTTGTATATTGTCTGTTATTAAATGAATAGCAAGTTTTTTTTTAATGTAATGAAAAGATAATGACAAAAACAAGAGGATAATAGAGAGGTTCAAATGGTAATTATATCAGAAAAATTACTAAACCGAAATTCTAATATAAGAATAAACTCAGAATGAAACCTATCAAATTAATGAACTAAATTAAAACTTATAAATTAAATGCCACTCGAACTAATTTTTTGGTTTATATCTTTATTAAATAAAAATATTCATCATCTTTGTTAAATAAAAATATTCATCATATTACAAGGGTCAAAAATTAAAAGCGCAAAATGTTAACATAATTCAAAAAGATTTTATTCAAATTAAAAAATTATCAAAAAAATCACAAGTTTTCAAAAATTAAAAAGTGATTTTTTTTTTACCAACAAAATATAATATATATTAATTTCTAATATTCAAAAATGACTGACATTTTTCTAACTAAATACAAAGACATAGATAAAAATATGATTGACATTATCTCATAAATGTATTATTTATGACATGCCACCCCTTTATGGGCTGTGGCACGCCTAACAACAAAAAAAAGTATAAATTTAACAGGGGTCGGGGTGCAGCGTATATTTTGTGGAGTCCTCGTGAGAGTAATTGATTCTCCCACAACTCCATATCATCTATACGTGGAGCATCTGCAGAAAAGGCGGAGGTCGTTGGCGTAGGCCCTTGAATACTATCGACCGCTCTTTGAAGAATGTTGTCAATTGGGGGGTTTGAGGTGCTGCTAGAACTACCGCTGGAGGTGCCAATTAGAGCACCCCGGTTGGCCGACGGAGCTTGTCGCATAGGAGCAAATGGAGCTGGCCCTCGCGTTGAGTCCTCCACTCTCCTTCGATACTGCCTGGTCGATCGTCCAATGGTATTGTCATTGATAGGGGCTAGAGGCGATCAACGGGAGATATCAACTATTATCCTGTTGTTTTTGTCATTGGTGACCGAGACTAACAGGATTGTTTCGATTCCAGGGTTATTCGGTATTTCAAGGTAAAAGAAAATATTTTATTTTATATTTTGTATCTCGCCTCAGAACACAACGCAATCACATGGGTTCGGTTTCCGAATATATTTAGTCATATTGAAAATATGTCAATATAGACGGGTTGTTGGTCATTTTCAGTTGAAATCATAGTTCAATTTAGACGGGTTTAATAAAATCGGTTTCTGAATATATTTGGTCATATTAAAAATAGGTCAATATAGACGGGTTTATTTTATGAACTTAAGTTCACGACTTGAGTTTGAGTTAGTCGACATATTCGACTAACGACTCGAGACTCTGAGTCGGATGAACTCGACTTTTTAACAACACTACTAATTTTTAATCAACTTTATTTTCATAAAATAAACTTCGTAAAGTATAAATGGAGAAAATTTAAGTACAATAACATTGCATATATTTCAATTACAAATGTACATCAATAAACGACAGAGCTCATTAAGCAAAATAATATCACAAACAATATAACGTAAATTATTATAATTTATCATTGCAACCCTTAGTACAAGTTGCCTTCTTCTCACAAAGAATAAATATATGAGAAAAAATTAGATAAAATAAAAGATAAGGCGTTATTTAGTTCACATCATTCCCATAGCCTGTGCAGCTCCTGCACCAGACCCCATACCTTGGCCTGCTTTAGGCATTCGCATGGTCTGATCAATCGAGAGAATGAGATTTGTAGCTTCAAGAGCAGCAGATAGTGCGTTCGATTTTACTGAACGGGGTTCCCAGACATATGCCATCATATTGTCCCGAATTGACCCATCCTTATCGGAATTGTCAGTGGGAGACTGATTTACATTAAGACCAAACCATTTTTCACCTTTTATGGATAAAAAGAATATATACAGTTAAAGGATAAGTAAATCTTTGGCTCAATAAAACAAACCTTGAGCATGTTTCTGCCTGAGGGCATTCATGAAATTTGTGGGATCAAGGCCTGCATTATCGCAAAGTTGTCTTGGTATTATCTCCAATGCTTTAGCTAATCCTTCAAAGAGAGCTTGCTCTTTGCCAGTTATGGTACGAGAATAATCGCGGAGGTATTTGCTTAGCTCAAGCTCCACAGCACCACCACCTTATTCATAGATAGGTTCCAAAATTAAGAATTATATTTTAATTAAGTATGGTAGAAAGAAGATAAATATAATAAAATTAAAAATAGCTTAACAATTATTGTAATATTTTTTAATAGCAAGCTAACTTATCTTAAACTAGCTTTGAGGTACAAAAAATATAATGTTTTAGCATCTTGTCTGAACATTTTACCATAAGATAAAATGTAATTACCGATGATGCAACCAATAATTTATTGTTAAAAAAATAGATATTTTAATCTTTGGTCAATCATAACTAATATCTTTCAGGTTAATTCAAATATATTACCTGCTACAATCTGATTGCTTGTTATAGCTCTCCTAACAACCATTATGGCATCATGAATGGATCTTTCCGATTCATCCATAAGCTGTTCTGCGGCACCTCTCAGAATTATGGTACAAGTTCGAGCCTTTGGACAACCAGTTAAAACATTGAATCTGGAGGAAGGTTATTTATTTAATAAGAGCATTTGACATTGAAATAATTTACTCTAAATATTAATAAGTTAAAAGGTGAAATTTCAGATTTTTATTCATGTTGTTTCTCAACAGCATCATTCAGCGTTGGATCTCGTGATTCATCATATATATATATACAATATATTTTCGTTATTGTGACCTAGATGTCTGCAAAACCTAATCAACAGCGGTTCATTATATTATGATTAGTTTTTATTTTGTGGAAAATATTTCAGGTAAAACTGGTTCAGAAATATTTTTGCCATAATTTGAATAAAATCAAAGATATTAAATAAAGCCTGATTTATATATTATTCTAAAAAAGGCTCATGAAATATTATGCGAAATGAAAATTCATAAGTCAACAAAATTTTGCTTCTCCCAAAAGTTCACTTATAACGAAGATATATTAACTATAATTGCCATAAAATTATGATGAAAAATCTTGCAAACCTTTCATTGCCAATCTGTTTTTCCTCAAAAAGTTGGCAGGTGCCCAAATTTTCTGGGGTTATATTGGTGACGGAAGTTAAAATACTACCACCACAAGCTTTGATAGTGCGTTTCATGTCTTCCTCCACAACACGTCCAGCACAAAACAGATCTCTGTGGGTGCATAAAACTGTATGTTAGGTTACATTTCTAATAAAATTTATTGTAAATGAATATAACCTTATCAAAATCAAGTATATCTTTCTCTTAAAAAAAGAGCCTAGTGTTGTTAATTCTGCACAAATCTTGCATAGGTCTTTTTACAATATGCAAGATAAAATGTTAATAAACCTATCTGCAAAATATTGAGTGGCTACATCCCCTATGGGGAGTTTTGAAAGTACAACTTTTGCACCACTTTTGTGAATATTTTCAAGCTTCTCATAAAGTATCGTCCATTCTGCATCAATAATAGCTTGATATTCCTGGGGAAAAAAATATAGAGAAATTTTTTTTTAGCACAATAGTATAGCATGAAATTTCCTAATTCTTTATGCATTTAATAGAATAAAATGACTTGAATCAGGGTTAAAAAGCTCAAGTTAAACATCATTTTCAAATAAGAGTTGGATTGTTTCGTTCATCATTTTCAAGTCAATTTTGTAATAATAAAATATTTCAATATAAAATAAAATTATGCAAAACTTTTCACTTATTTTAAGTTAATATATTCCTTTACTTGGGCATTGTCAACTCTTATCTCAGCATTCTCCTTTTCTGATTTGAGCTCAAGTTCTATGTTTAGGGCCGCAATTTTAACATCTTTTGTATACTTTTTGGGTTGCATTTCAAAGCCAGCATAAGAAAAAGTTTTCTTGAATGCAACTCCAGCAATTAACATTGATTCCTTGTTATTGTTTAAAAAAATTAAGAGTTTTAAAAATGAAATATATTTATTAGGAGTAAAATTTAGGAAAGAATAAAATTTTTTCATCAAACTTCCAAACTTCCTCCTTGAACTTTCTTTATGCCTATCATATCTAGTGGCATGAGAGGTTCCTGTAACATCTGCACAGCTTGTACTACCATTTCAGCAAAATATCGTTTGCTTTGAGCTAATATTTTAGAGCTAAGAGCTGTGCATGCTAAATTAGTCAATATTTCTGTAAATTCCCTTGATGTTTCATAAATATAAAAAACTTGTATCGTTAATCTTTTTACTTTGGGTTATCTTTCTTAATTGTAACAGACAATTCATTGAGCTTTTCAAGTGCCTTTATATAGAATTAGAAAAAATTGATTTTTTATAATAGGCTCCATTTTAAATGATTTACATGAATTTTCATATATATTAAATTAAGTAAACCTTTAATATAAAACTTTAAACATTTCATATTATAGGTTACAAGAAGCAAACTAGTTATGGTTATAAAAAATTACCATTAGTGTAGCTTTTTTATAGCTTTTCATTATAATTTGGGGGTGTACGCCATCTTCAACAAAGCTTTTAGCTTGATTCAAATATTCACATGTTAGCAATACCACAGATGTTGTTCCATCTCCAACCTTATAAACATGTTTTTTATTGTATGTATTATTTTAAATACTTCAATATAGAGATATACCTTATAAAAGGTAGATATATGAAATATTTTATAAATTAATATATCACAAACGTAACCCCATTAAAATACAAATTTTAGCAGGTGACATTTTGTGAAATAAATTTTTTTTAAATGAAATTAACCTCTGCATCTTGACTTTTAGCTATATCTACAAGTATTTTGGCTGCCGGGTGTATCACGTTCAATAATTTCAAGATAGTTGCACCATCATTTGATATAGTAGCTTTGCCTATAAGTGCGAGCAATAGTTAATAAATGAGTCCATAAATATTACCTGATGCATCTATAATCAATTTATCCATTCCCCTGGGACCCAATGTAGTCGCAATCGTGGACCCAATCGCCTTAATACATTTAGATCAAATTAAGATATAAATTTATAAACTTGACAGGCATTAATATTAGATACAAGTTGAGTTTTGCCTTCTGTAGAATCAGATCCTTCTTTTAATAATATAATGGGTCCTTGCTAAATTTAATATTAGACAAAAAATTTTATTAAAATAAAAATGGGGAAACGGGAATTTTACCATGCTTCCTTTCGCAAATTTACTAGTTTTTAAATAATGTAAAAACAAATTTAATTTTCGAAATTAAATTATATTGCTTCAAATAAATTCGATTAGAATATATAATACAAATAGTGTATTTATATCAGCATTAAATATATATAAAAGCTAGAGGATTTAGCGCTGATATCGTGTGGAATTCAAATATTATAATAATATAAAGTTGTTAACTTATAAATATGATATAATATTATAAAATGTATAATGTTGAATTTATTATATTTATATCGTCATATAAGTGACTAATTGATAAGCCAAATTTTTAGTACTGCGATATTATATCCATTATTTTTATATAGACGGCTTAAGTAATAGTTTTGCATTTATTATGTATGCTAGATAATAAAATATCGATATATTTCCGATTTTCACTTGATTAAATTAACAGAGGACCCTTTTTCATTATTATATATTGATTTAATTATACTCATTAAGCTGAGAACAAACTTAACATTTTTTTTCAACCAATTAATTCATAAGTTACAAATTGTGTTTAAAAGCCCAATTCGGATCGAATTTAAAAACGGTCCTATTAAGATTATAACCAAAATATTATTATATAAACCTGGCAATTTTTCTAATAGGTGGCAGAATGATTGGGGTTTCTACTTGCCAAATCTTAAGGTATAAACATTAATTTTGGTTAAAATCCTTAAAAATCGACCCAAATCGGGCTTTTTAAAAAATACTAGTTACAACTTACTTTACTACATTTTTCCTATTAAATTTTTAATAGATTGTGTAATATATAAGTTAGAATAAATGATATACAATTGAGTTTAGCCATAAAATAAATAGACTAAATTAATTTTAATAATCCACATTTTGTTAAGAATTTGCAAGCTTTTTTCCGGAACAATACCATATATCAAAAATTTCTAAGTTCGATTTTTTTTTAAAGTGGTCTAAATTTTTATTAAGATAATTTTAAAAAAATTTATTAGAATAATTTTTTTGAATTGCAGATTTTAATTTTCTGATAATTTTTTTGATTTAATTAAGAAAAATAATCTACTTTTCAAATAAATATTTGGGAAAGGATATGCAATTTGGATATTAAGTTTTAGACAGAGTTGGGCATTACCACAAATACTTGTAACTAAGATAAAAGATATAAGATCCTTTAGTATCTTCTCAGTATTTTTTTAACATTTTTAATAAGATACTAGTATCTGTATCTAAGATCCTTTATTCTGAAAAGAATCTTGTAATAATTTCCTTATTTTCTTCAACCATATTTTAAATGTAATGACAATCAAAATTAGCTGGAAAATTTACAACTAATATTAAGGTAATAACAACACCAAAACGAAATAAGTAAAGATTATTTTTTACTAGTAGAAAGCCCGTCAAAAATAATGAGGAATGAGATTTTTATTCATTTTTTACGATAGATGTAATGCCAGGTTCAAGCTCACAATATTAGGAAACATCCAAGATCTTATAATTTTAAAAAAGTTTATCAAGCCCAGCTTAACCCTTAATAATTTGTAAAAGATATTCCCAAGTCAGGTGCAAGCTAATATTAATTTTGAGGTTCCAAGCCCAGCCCTACCCATTATAATTTTGAAAATTTTTTCCCGCCTCGGAGATAGTTAAATTTTTAAATGGGAAATATCTGATTTACCAATTCTTATATTGAAAATATATGGAAAAAAAACATGTAAATTTAGTCAAAAATATAATTAAACTATTGTTGAAATTAAACAAACATAAAAATAATGTAAACCAGTAGATGGGTCAATATTAGATGCATATTTCTAGTAGATGGAGGGCTATCATCAAAAAAGATTTTTGGGGGACTTATCAAACCTATTATGATATTCTAAAAGTTAAAAAATAGCATGATAAATGTAATGTTATTAAAATTAAGGTTAATTAATTGTAAGGTATTAAAAAAATATGATTAAAAAAGGGGAGAAAAAGAAGGTATAAATTATTATATTATAAAAATAATAAAAAGGAATTGATAAGGTTTTGAGAAATAGTGGTTAATAGATAATAGAGATAGAAAGAAAAGAATGAGATAAAAAAATTTAGTGATAAATAAATTCATTAAGGGAGGGGAAAAAAATAAAAAAAGAGTTATTTATAAGGATTGGAGATTATAAATAGGTTAGGATAAGAATATTTAAATATTTGAATATACTTGGATATCTTCTTAATTATTGGTTTTGAAAGAAAAAGATGAGTATAAAAAATTGTAATATAAGTACTGACAAAAATTGTGAGTATGTTCAAAATAAATATACAAGTTGAGTATCTTGTAGAGATTTCATTAATGTGTAATTGATAATATGAGATGAAAATTGATAAGTTAATCTAAAAAATAAAAAAAGGATAAAGTGAAATAAAAAGTTTCATTCATATTTACAAAGTTGAGGGAATATTGTTTATATCGATTCAAAGACGATTTTTCAAATCTCTCAATCCATGTTAGGTATGTGTACACCATCAATTCTCGGAATTCCATTCATCTGTTTGTATAAAATAAATAAATAAAATCAATAAATAAAAATAAATACATACCGATGACATGACGTAGCGATGACATGACGTCACAATGACGTAGTGAGGACATCGGAAAATTATAATATAGATACATAAATGTAGCATGATTAAAACTTATGGTAATGAAATTTAAATTATGGAAATAAGTTCCCGTGAATCAAATCCAGATCTTAAAATTTTATATGGAAATTTTTTAAAAATAAAAGTTAAAAAAGACAATGTACAGGATAGATGTAAAAACAAAAAAAGGATAAAGTGTTAAACACAAATTTTGTTAAACATATTAAAGTTTATTATTTATGCGTGGTTAAAAAGGGGCATAGGAGATGGTATGGACAATAGATTTTAAAATATTTTCCTATTTAAATATGGCTTTTTTGACATCAATATCACATCCATATTTTAAGAACTTATGAATTGAGTCAGATGATAATAAAAAAAAAAATTTTTTCAAAATATATTAATAAAAGAAGCCTAAATGTAGTACCAGAGTATATAATCAAGTTCTAACTATAACACTAATAGATTTAACATCTAATAAAGAAAATGATGATTTGTTTTTGGTGAAACAAATGTTGCTGAGTCCAATATTACAAATAACACTGAACAGGAGGTTTTAAATTATATTAAAGAAAGTAGAAATGCATTAAAAAATGCTTAAATATTATCCTTTCATTAAGGAAATTTTTTTATAAAATAATAATACTGCAATACCTTCATCAGCTCCAATTGAAAGGTAATTTAGTTTTGGCACAATGTTAAGTAGTCCAAAACGACAAAAGTCTAATGATAAATTATTTGAAAAATTAGAATATCTTATAAAAATAATGAATCTATTTTAAATATTCTTTGGTCTATTATTAATATTAAAAAGCCCGATTATTATAATTAACTCACCATTAAATATTTTATTAATTATTATTAAATATTTATTCTTATTACATGCGTATGTCATGTTATTCACAAATAAATAATAAAAACTGTGTTTTATAAACCATTCTAGCAAAAGATACAATTATATTTTATCTTATATCTTTTTGATATTTTGTAAAAGATACTAGTATCTGTATCTAAAATCCATTTTAATCACAAAGAATCTGTATCTGTATCATAAAAGTGGCTTGTATTTAAGATACTCTAGTTAGGCAAAAGATATACAATTATATTTTATCTTCGATCTTTCTTGATATTTTGAAAAATACTAGTATCAGTATCTGAAGTTCATTTTATCACAAAGAATCTGTATCTGTATCATCTGATTTAAATATTTTCTTATTTTTTAACTTAAAAATATTAATCTCCAATTTAAATATAACCTATGGTTTTTATATTAAATTATCAAGCCTCCCGATAAATTATCTTGAGCAATTATTATTATTTTTTTTTTATCTTAAAATAATTAAATATTTTTTTGAGTGTTCATTATTTATAATTCTGGGCGTTGTAGTATTTCCTGATTTCGGTGAGAAATTAAATAGGCACCCTTAATCAATGTTTTATATTGCAACTTTTCATTTTGATCATAATAATTTAAAAGAAAGAAAGAAAGAAAGAAAGAAAGAAAGAAAGAAAGAAAGAAAGAAAGAAAGAAAGAAAGAAAGAAAGAAAGAAAGAAAGAAAGAAAGAAAGATAAAATTTTTTTAAAAAACTCAAAAACAAATTTTTACCCCAACCAAATTTTATTTCTTTTCATATCTCATAAATTTTTTTTTCTCTCTTTTTAGCTTTCACCTTTTCTGGTGGTAAGCTACTCCAACATCTCTCTCCACTTTATGTTATTCATACTATCTCTTTTATCTAATTTATATTTCTTTATATTGGCTCTAATTTTATGGCCCCATTGAAGTTAGTTTGCCCATCACTCCTAAACTCTTAACCTTATTTCCTATGTAGTTCTTAGGCCTTCTCATTGTGTGCCCATACCACCTAAGTCTGTTTACCATTAACTTAGTCTTAATGGGCACTACCTTTAAACTACTTAGTATTCTTGTACTGCGCACTTTATCCTTTCTCGTTACCCCAGCAATCATCCTCAGCATTCACATCTACATAGTTTGTAGACTTCTCTCGTCTGATTCCTTGGTTGGCCATGTTTCCGAACTATATAGAATAGTTGGTTGTACTATGGAATGTAAATTATTCCCTTTAATTTGTGTGGGATTCTTTTGTCAAATAGCACTCCAGATAAAGATCTCCACTTTAACCCTTGATTAATTTTACTTTATCTCTTTCTCTATTTTGCCATTTTTTTGTATAGTTGGAGCCCAAATATTTGCAGCTTTCAATTGCCGATATCTGCCATTTATCTTATCTCATTAATAACCCTATTTAAGAGGACATTGCAAATGGAAGAAGATCAGGATCCAGATCATGCGCCGGACTGGACTACGATCCTCAAATAAAAGACCGCACCGTCCAGAGTGTTGTCATAAATAAAAAAAGACCGATTCAGGGCTGGTCTTTTAATTTTTTAAAAAAAAATTAATATTTGCTTTCTTTATTAAATTTTGTTATTTTTGAAAATGAATAATTTTTTAAAAAGTTGGAAGTAGATAGTTGCCAAATTTTAGGAATTTAATCGGGATAAATTTTGATCAAATTAGGGAGTTTCAAGAATTTATTAAGAGCCCATATTTTATACAGGTTTTTAACTGTGTATGCAAAATAATAAAGAAAGAAAGAAAGAAAGAAAGAAAAGAAAGAAAGAAAGAAAGAAAGAAAGAAAGAAAGAAAGAAAGAAAGAAAGAAAGAAAGAAAGAAAGAAAGAAAGAAAGAAAGTTTATTATTGAATTAATATCAATAACATGAATTGGATAGAATATAAAGGCATATCTGTAACCATCAACATATCTAGTCAACAAAAAGGTGTTTTCATTTGTACATTAAATTCATAAGAAGTCTTAAAATATAAACGAAAATTTCATATACAATAATAAAAATGAAAAAACAAAATATTATTATAAACATTTTTGGTGATATCATATTAACAAAAATATAATAACTCGAGTAGTGTTGTTAAACGGCTCGTTTTGAGCCGATTTTTAAAAACGGCTAACTCAATATATCATCCAGAATAATATTACGCAAGCCTGAAGATTTTCTTTGTAGAAGGAACAAAGGTTTGTACATCTATTAGCGAAATCTCGAGGTGTAGTCAATATTTTTCTGGCTAAAATATTGAGTTAGCCTTTTTTAAAAATCGGCTCAAAACGAGCCGTTTAACAACACTAAACTCGAGTAATTAACCCTAATAGAACATATACTAAGATAAGATAAGATAAGATAGTGTATTTAATGATATATGATAAAATTATGAACTACAATTATATATATAAGTAGTGTTGGCCGATTTTTAAAAACGACTAACTCAAAATTTTAGCTAGAAAGATATTGCCTAAGCCTCGAAACTTCTCTAATAAATATTCAAAACCTTTGTTTCCCTCTACAGACAAAAATCTTCAGGCCTTGCGTATTATTATTCTGGATGAAATATGGAATTAGTACATTAAATATAAGATAGAGAATCACAGTAATATTGTATTTATAATTAACTCCGCCCCTACCTTACCCCATTCCAAATCCTTACATGTCTTCGTGTAAAATCCGAATCAAAATAAGAATCAAAGAATATAATTCATATACAATTTTTTTTAAAAAACGCACCGTTATCAATTTATTATAATCATTGCCTTATCTTATTTACAATATTGTCCCCATCGATACTAATCTCGAAGTGTGAGTGAACCGATTGAAAGAAATCTAAGGCTTGCCGAAAGGGTAAAAACAAAAAAAAATATAAGAGTCCAAAGATTTTTTTTAATGGCTTTCCTGTGCACGCTTTGGCACACTCCACAACGAGAATTAATGTTATTTAAAAGTTTGACCAAACAGTGGAACAGCGGTCTCGCCTCCTCCCTATCTGACCCGACACTTGAAGACATCAAAGTAAGTTCTATAAAGGCATCGTACCTGCAGCAAACCTCGCTTCACCTCAATTGTTCTTCTCCCACTCGTTATTTTTCTACTACTCCAACTTGGCTAAGTTTTTCCACAGAATTAATGTTATTTAAAAGTTTGACCAAACAGTGGAACAGCGTGTCTCGCCTCCTCCCTACCCGACCCGACACTTGAAGACATCAAAGTAAGTTCTATAAAGGCATCGTACCTGCAGCAAACCTCGCTTCACCTCAATTGTTCTTCTCCCACTCGTTATTTTTCTACTTCTCCAACTTGGCTAAGTTTTTCCACTTTACACTCGATATTTTAAATTTTCGCGCTCGCGCTTACTATAACCTGAATAGATCGCGTTGAGGCGAGGCGTATACTGCAAAACGTTAGGCGTCGTGAAGTTCATCTAGAATCAGGCGCATGCTGGTGTTTCGTATTCTCCTATCACGAGGGATCCAAAAGTATCTAGTTCTTTAGGTAAGTCGATTAAAAAAAAGTAGGATTCTTCTTTCTCTTTCTTTCTTTCTTTCTTTCTTTCTTTCTTTCTTTCTTTCTTTCTTTCTTTCTTTCTTTCTTTCTTTCTTTCTTTCTTTCTTTCTTTCTTTCTCTCTCTCTCTCTCTCTCTCTCTCTCTCTTCTCTCTCTCTCTCTTTCTTTCTTTCGTTCTACATTAAAAAATATTACCCTTGAAAAGAGGGTTTTTCTCTTTATTGTTTAATTTTCAAAAATAAGGGGATCATATGGCCCTGTGATTCTTAAAATTTAATTCATTAATTATGTTATGATATATATTCAAAATTTTAAAAGATTAGGAACACGAAAATATGTTACAAAGTCTCATGTCTCCTCCTCAAATTATTAAGTAACTTTGACATAACTCATTTTTTTAATATAATAATTAATAATAAAAAAAATTAATCAATAATTCTCATTATAAAGATTAAATATATATTTTTTTAAATAAAAATATTATTTTTAAATCATAAACACATGCCATTAAACAAAAACCCCACTTTATATAAAAAAATTTAAAAAACTATTTATATATTTTTTAATTTAAAAAAATGATTTTTGGTTTTCGATAATACTCCGGGTTATCTGCTAATATTTAAAAAAATCTATTTTTTCAAAAAAATCGAGAGATGTGATGATTATGCTCCAACTCAAAGATTATTTTTAATTATTTATGATTCTGTCCTTTCTTTTTCTTTCTTTCCTTCTTTTTCTTTCTTTTCTTTCTTTCTTTATCGATACAAAATGATTAAATTTAAATCATTTTTTAATATTACTAACCCCAAATCTCTCAAACCTTTGATTCCCAACCCATATCTCTCTCATCTTTAATCCCAACATAATATACCTGTTTTAACTTTTAAAATATATTTCGTACAAATTAAAAAAATAAATTTCTTAGAGTTTCAGATTCAGTTAAGGTTATTATCAGGAAGTGATTACTACAGGTAGAGTTTCTAAGAAATATAGTAAGAAATTTTATTTCGCAGTTTATTTTGGATATATTTTTTTTATAAATAATAACCCCAATAATATTTATAATTTAATATTTGTATCAATAATATTCAGTCGGGTTATTATCAGAAGTGATTACTACAGGTAGAGTTTCTAAGAAATATAGTAAATTTTATTTCGCAGTTTATTTTGGATATATTTTTTTTATAAATAATAACCCCAATAATATTTATAATTTAATATTTTTAACAATAATATTCAGTCGGGTTATTATCAGAATTGATTACTACAGGGAGAGTTTTTAAGAAATATAGTAAATTTTATTTCGCAGTTTATTTTTTTTTATAAATAATAACCCCGGTAATATTTATAATTAATATTTGTAACAAATAACATATTATTATTTATAATTTATTTAATATTTTATTTAAAAATATATAAATTTTATTGTATATAAAAAATCGTTTATCTATCTTCGATAAAGCGAAGGAAACATAATTGTTTGTCTTTGTCTTTGCTTTTGCTAATAAAAATGGCGGAATGCAAAAAGTATCAATTTTTCAAAAGATTTATTGTCCTTCTAAGAGCGGAAATGATAATTAGGTTTTTGTTCTTTTAATTCTCTAAGTTCCTAGAAAAAAAAGATTTAGAAAAATAAAATGGTTATATAATTTTACAGTTGTGCGTATATGATATTGGGTGGTTGCTATAAATGGCGCGAAATATGTTGGGGAATTGGAATGCATATCTGGCAAAAAAGGACCGGGAACGAACCGGAAATGAACATTTATAAATTCCTGAATCCTAATCGGGAATTAACCGATATATACCCAAATTGTGAAAAAAAAAATGGCGAACAAATTTTTAATTTTTGATTAGGTTTCTAACAGGTAATATTTGATTTAAAAAAACAAATAACATCTGGAACTTTAAAAATAAATTTATTTTTTTTTGTGGAGTTAAATTTTACTGAAAATAACCATTTTCCTTAATTTAAATTTCAAATTAGCTTTCCGGGCTTAAAATTATTTCTATTTTAAATATGAATCTAACCGGAAATTCAAAAACCCTGCACCCGATCCTACTTGGAGCCCACTTTTGATCAAGTTTCCAGGGGCTTTTAGACCTTACCCGATCGACAATAGTTCTAAATTTTATGGACCCTTAGAAAACCACGAGTGTCTCTATGTAATATTTTACTAGAAATATAACAGAGATTTTACTGTATTATACCCTTTTTGCCTTATAATCCTTGCATCTAAAAACAGTAATATTAAGCTTCTTTCCATAACATTCACCCGCCAAAAAATTTTTTCACGTTAATATGAAAACGTAGTATTGTGCAGTTATAATTACTATAAAATCCAGATTGTGGTATTCCAAGTCCCTAGATATGCCATAGAGCTGGGTCTTCACCCACACCATAGATTTTTCTTTACTGTCTGCCCTTCCCCCTGGAGGATATATTATAAATAGCACAACCCGTTCAGTGAACACGGAAGAAAACCTAGGGGAGTTATTATAACTCCACAAACTAAAAAACTTATTTGATGTAATAAAACCTTTTTTAGGTGTTCGATCTCTTTTTCCAAGCTTTTAATCTTGATTTCGCTCGTTTCCAATTCTTTCGACAGGAAATGGTTGCTCTCTTTTTCCTCTTGGAGTAATTGATGCAACTATAATTTAAATAAACGCGATTATTAAACCGCTGATTTATACTCTTCCGTAAGCAATTAAATATTAAGACACGCACAATTGTCCCATACAACTTAGACCTGCGTGCCATAAAATCGGCCGCTTTCAATTCTTGACCACGCCGACGCCAAATAATGGTATCAGGTCGCCGCCGATGTAAAAATTTGGTGGCGTTGACGGTGTGATACAATATTTTAATAATATATTAAATATTATATATTATTAATTTATAGAAAGATTTAAAAAAAAAAATTTTTTTAAATAAATATTTACTTGCTATATAAAAATAAAAACGTTTGATTTGTTTTTAAAACAAGAAAACATAATTAAAAGTTTAGTTATTAGAATAAGTGACTTCTTAAAGAGGGAGAAAGGAAGAGATGGGAGGGAGGAAGTCAGGTTACCTCTGTTATTAGATCAACAATTTATAAAAAAAACATAGGTTTGTTATTTATTTTTTGAAAAAAAACATTGTTTTTTTTCATTCCTAGTCTATATTTACAACAACAATATTGCTTACAAAAAGTAAATCAGCTGTGTGGGTAAAAGGTAGTTTTGTTAAAAGGCTCCTTTAAAGTCATTTTTTTAAAAATGGCTAACTCAATATTTCATCCATAGGCAACCCTGAAGATTTTCTTCTTAGAAGGAACAAAGGTCTAGAATATCTGTTATCGAAATCCCGAGGCGCAGACAATATTGTCAGCCGTTTTCTAAAAATCGGCTCAAAAACGAGTCGTTTAACAACACTAGGTATATATAAGAAAATGGAAGATTTGAAAATGATGTAATCAGATTTAAAAAATTGATGTTTAACTCTTTCAATTTCGTTTAAGTCATTCCTAAACGCTTCGTCCTCTGGTCTTGACGATATATTGGATACCATTTTGTGGTCAAACGGTGATTGGTCGCGGAAGATGTCGAGTTCGTTTTCGTCCATAAAAATTTGCTTGCTCACGAAATCCCTGATCACTTTAGGTATGGTGTGACTCCTGGGAAAGAATTTCGGCGCAGATCTTTTGTCGCCGGAAGGACTAATTCCACTACTTCCGCTATTTTTACGGGATTCCGGGTCTCCGATTTCTGACACCTGATCGTGGTCGTCGGTTTCTGATTCAGGTTCTTCTGATATACTAGTTCTAAAAATTTATTATTCGTTCAAATTTTAGGGAAAGAAAAAGGAAAAGATATTAAGAAGCTCACATCTAGAAGTCTAGAACTTATAAATCTTTCAAAAAAAAAGAGTAACTATATTTCTTAGATGAGAGAAACTTTAAAACAATGTCTTAGTCAAGGGTCTAACAGACAACCCCCTAAGCCGCTGCAAGCCGTATTTCTAGCTTGTGGTCTTAGGAGACCTAACGTTCGGAGAAGGGGTTTCCATAATAAATTCTAATTTTTTACCGAAAGCCACATCTTAGAATTGTTGTTTTTATAAGATTTATTTAATTTTTTCAAAAGAAAAGCGGAAAAACTATTAAAACGCTCCTCGAGAAAAAATAAGAATTTTTTTTTCTCCCTTAGAAATATTGAAAATGGGATTTATAAAATTTAAAAAATTTTCCCCCGATAAGTCCCAACCCTCCGAAAGTGAAAAAATAAATCATTTTTAAAAAAAAATAAATCTATTTTATGACAAAGATAGAGTTTGAATTCAGAGCCCCGGCAAGTCGGCCCGAAGTCCAAACCGGTAAAATTCTAAAAAAAATAAATATTCGGGTGAGAAGTCGGGTTTAAAAAAAGGGGATGTTAAAATAAATCGCCAATAAAAAAATTTGACCTGGGGAATTGAGAATAGAAGCAATCAGGAATTTCGCATTTTATTTTAACTTAATAATTTTGCAGGGATCATTTCAAGAAATTTCTAACCTAAATCATTAGTCCTTTTCTTTCTTTCTTTCTTTCTTTCTTTCTTTCTTTCTTTCTTTCTTTCTTTCTTTCTTTCTTTCTTTCTTTCTTTCTTTATGTCTAGTCTAGAGTGTTGGTTAATTAGCCGCCCATTTAGAGGATTTCATTTTAAGCTCAAAGTAAGGGGGTAAATTTTTATAACTTAATCTTCCCAAATGAGTTCTGGCGAGTTTTGTTCAGAATCGATTAATTTATAACACTTCAACTAATAATCTATTAATTATATACTAATTTGGTTTAAGTTATTCGTGTTATAGAATTATTATTTTTTGATCTAATAATATTAGAATATAAAGGTGACCAATCAAAATTATCGGGTGAGAAATAGCGGGAGATCCGCAATTTGGCGGGAATTTTAAATCACCCAATCCACTGCCAGTAATACATATTTTGGCGGGAGCGCTAAAAAATATATATAAACAGCAGGGTCTACTTTATGGCGGGATAGACGAGGAAAGTTTATTTATTTTATTTTTCAAAATATCGACTAATTTTATTTATAAATAATAATTCATAATTTAAAAAACATAAATAAATAAAATAAACAACCAAATTAACCAATCAAAATTATTTTTAATAAAAAAACAACAAGCGCGCGATAGGGTAAATCCTTATTTAAGCCAATGAGGAATGATCAAGATTGTTATTTATTTTTTTCTTTTAAAAAAAGGGCGGGCCAACTTAAAAGCTATAACGGCCCATTGTACCCCTTTAGTTCACGGAAATTTTTTTTTGTAATACCTAGTGGATTCTTCCTTTACCCGGGGTTGAGGATGAGGAGTGATTAGAATTGGTATCGGGATTTTCTAATTTATTTATTTATTTTTTTTTCAAAAAAAAAACAAAAATAAACAAAGATGTCGTTATAATGGATGATAAATAAGCCAACTCAAGGGAATCTACAATTCGAGGAAATTTTTTTAATTGGACCAAATATTGTTTAAAGTTGATCCAATAGGATTAAATGATATGGGTTTTTTTTTAAATGACGTCAAATCTGACAGGTCACGTGATTAAAATTTTTCCTAGAATCGGGAACCATTAATCATCTATAACAAAAATATTACGAGTTGTATATCCGAATCATCGATCACTTCTATTTCCGCTTCAGGATTTGCGTCCTAAATAAAAAAAAAATTAAATTTCTTAGTTTAATAATTTGAATGCCATTACCTAGAGTTACGATGCATTCCATTAAAAGTGTAAGTGTATACCAATGAAAACAGCTGGGGACGCCATTTTGATTACCCGTATCATTCTTTAAAAAAATTTAAAACGAGAGGGCCATTTTATCTTGTCGCAAACTTTATTAAAGAATTGCCTGATATCATCGAGATGATAGAGTTATCGATTTAATGGTACGAGAATAATTGGTATATGGGTTACCAAAATGGCGGGTCCAGCTGATTGGCATTTTCAGCGAGGATTTCAGTTGCATTATTATGAATGTATTGTCAGTCTAGGTATGATTGTATGTCATTCAGGTTATACTCTTACTAGGTCAACACACACACACACACACTGAAATAATTCCGGCAAAATCTTGTCCTTTAAAATTGAAAGAAGACTGGGAAAAGGAGGTCCTAAAAATGATTCCTGGGTTAATGAATAACATATCTTGCCAACCTTTCAACCCCTCCCCACCTCCCTCACCTTTTACGAGTTAGGTCAATGTATATAATAACATAATAGTAGACATCTTGAATCGGTATAACACGGGATACATTCTTAATTATAGATTCTGTTACTTTCTCGTTACATTCTTTCTTTTTTTTTACTCCGTTTCTTTTCTTATAAAAATAGTTATCAAATATTTACCTTTCTTTTATAAACATTTCTAATTTTTTTTTAGTAATATTCTTTCCCAATAAATTTGATAACAAATGTACTTTATATAACTCAACCTTAATAATTTCTCTTTTTTTTTTACGATAAATATATACTATAATCTCTTAAATTATAATTCTATTCTAACGAAGATTTCTATCCTGTCTGGAATATATTACAATCATATTTACTATATTTAAATATTTATATTTTAAACCGCCATTTCTTCGATCTCTTTGTCCCCTTCGGCATCCATATCCGCAGAATTCTCGGAATAAAGACCGGTGCATTTCCGTTTTTCCCTCATATTCCTTCGTCTAGCGGCACCCAATCTACTAGAACTCATTTTTGAATGAATCGGAATTTACGATCTCGGGATTATAATCTTCTTTTTACAACAAGAATGAATGTATTTTCTTTGAAAAAACAAATATATCCTCTTTTTTTTACATTACAGATTTAACCATAATTATAAATTAATTATTAAAATAATTTTCTTTTTGATTAAAAGTTAAATTTATGACTTAATTAATTTTAAAAAACTTTTTTTAAAAAAACAATTCTTATTCAGATTGACATTAAAATATTATTATAATATCCTTATCATAAATTATAACTATATAAAATTTTAATTTTAAGTGTAGGGACTTTTTTTTGCTTGAGAAAATGATTTATTATTGCTAATTATTCTATATATATTTCGGTAATCCTTTTGTGAAAATTTAGAGTCCAATGTTTGAGAATGAGGAATTTTATATATTTTTTTAAAATTATAAACGAAAAAAAAAATTTATTTATGTCAAAAAAAATATTTATTTAATTTCATTTAAAAAAATATTAATTATTTAATAAATAATAAAGAAAACAGCTGTATTTAAAAAAAAAATTAAAAAATTGGAGTTTTTTATTAATCATTTTTTTCGGGGAAGATGACATAAAATCTCTTGAGGAAGCATATGAATGAATGTTTTAAAAAAATGGTTAATCTTCCTCTTCTCTTCTCTTCTCTTCTCTTCTCTTCTCTTCTCTTCTCTTCTCTTCTCTTCTCTTCTCTTCTCTTCTCTTCTCTTCTCTTTCAGGAGTGGCAAGAATTAAGTATCGTTATACTACCTAACACTTTTAGTCTACTAATAAAACATGCTTAGTCTATATTTTTATAATCCAGAAAATATTCTAATCAATCTTCAAGTTGAAACTCAACTTTAGAAGCCTTGATTCAATTTTTTTTACAGTCTAAAAGCCCTGACTAAGAGCCACCACAATAGAGAGATGGGTCAAAGTCAGGATAATTTTATCAACAACACCACTTAACAAAAATTAGCTCGAATTTTAATGTTTGTTTTGCTTAATTACGTAAAGAAATTGATATTATATTATTAAAGATATGCAAAAGTAGGTCCGACCCGTGCCCGGCCCTGAATGAGCTTCGGGCCGGATTTTTTAGGGTTCGGGCTAGGATGGGCCAAGGCCGGATGCATATCACTAGTTATTATAACTCGATTATTAGATTTATAGATGATTTAGTGCTTAAAAAAAAATGATGATAAAACTCTCTAAGATATTACTTTTTTTTAAAAAAAAATTAAAATAATTAGAAATATAAATGGATAGCAGCACAAATGTTGGATTCATTTTCTACCTAAGAAGATCGATAGAAATTATAATGATTGATTTATAAAATGAAAAGAAAAAGGAAAATTAAAAAAAGTGAGAAATTTAAAAAGCGTTTATATGTGTTTTTTCCGGCAATGTGTTATTTTTTACTAGAGATCAGCAAAAGTAGGCCCGGCCAGTACCATGCCCGAACCCGGTTCGAACGGGTTTTGGGCCGGGTCTACTCTTTTTTAAGAGAATTCGGGCCGGGTCGGGTCGGGCCTTGAAATTTTTTTTAAATATATCTAAATTTATCAATTTTATGTTGAATTTTTTACGTAAAATTATCTTTCTTTCTTTCTTTCTTTCTTTCTTTCTTTCTTTCTTTCTTTCTTTCTTTCTTTCTTTCTTTCTTTCTTTCTTTCTTTCTTTCTTTCTTTCTTTTTCTTTCTATTTTCTTATGTATCGTTTATTTTGAGTAATTGTAAAAAATTAATTTCTATATTTAAATAAATTCAGGCTGGGCCGGGCAAAACTTTATAAAAAAAATTTAGGGTCGGGTCGGGTTTGAGAAATTAGGCCCGAGTGCAGGTCACTAATTTGTACCGCTTTAAATCGTTTTTTGAGCGCGTTTTTAGAAAATTTTAAAAATCTGATTTTGCCGCAGGTGCATGCCGCCATGTTTGGAATATCTACCTTACGAGATTCAGATAATTTTTCCCATGAACTTTTAAACATATCAATCCATCATTTTTTTTAAAAAGAAAAAAAATTCGGTAATATTCATCGACTTTTTTTTTTACTATTTATTAGAGTCGTTAAAAGATACTTTTTAAATGGATTTAGATGTAGATAAATTGTCTAAAATAATATCTAGATACAGATACTTTAATCAAAAATTTATCTAGATACAGATACAGACAACTTAGAACGTAGAAAATCCAATGGTGATTTTCAAAATATTTACAAATTTTTAATAATGTCTAATTTTAACCCCGGTAAAATGTATATTCCATACCCTAAAATTTTCTGATTATTTATTTTTTCCTAGTGTTGTTAAAGGGCCCTAACTCATTGTTTTAGCCAAAATAAATATTGGCTATGGGCCCTAGACATTTTTTTGCTGGGTGATAGATTGCGAAACCTTAGAGCCATCTATGATAGTAAAATCTTCAGAGATTTTGCCTAATATAATTTATATGGATAAAATATTGAGTTCACCGTTATACAGCCATTTAACTACACTAAATTCCCCCCCAACTTTTAATATTCGGTCTAGAATTGGAGGGCGCCACTTGCGCAAATGTTTAAAATGAGAAGAAAAAAAATCAACATTAAAAGGTTATATAAATTAAAATATCGGTTAAAAATGTTATATTTGAATCAATTTTTGACAATTAAAACTTTTTGGCAAAGAATTAATATTTTTTTTTTAAATCTAGTTTTTTATATTTATATATACATATATGTCGTAAAGGGTTTTTGGGTATCTCTCAATTTTAAATCATTTACTAAGGGTGATTAACTTGGATTTTAAAAATCTGAATTTACAGGAATTGAAATTCCAGTGTAGAGTTATTTATCCTATGAATTTCAGCCAATTTCAGCGGTAGACATTTTATAGTATTTTTTAATTTATAATGAAAAATCCATATAAAAATTAATATAAATTAGAAGTACTTCTGAAGTTCGTGGTAGAATTGTTTGAAATTTACAGTTGAGGGTACTCTATCCATGCTAGAATACAATTCCGGTTAAATCAGATTCCGAATTCCCAAGGAATCCAAATCCCAATACGACATATATATTGGTAGTGTTGTTAAACTACCTAACTCTTAATCGACTCTAAGACAGCGTAGCCATGATTTTAACCAAAATATTCCAATCAATCTTCATGTTAAGAGGCCTCAACTTAGAGGCTTAATTCAATTTTTTAGGCTAAAAGCTTGAACTTAAGCCACAATAGAGATGGTCAAAGTGAGGTAATTTAACAACACTATATATTTGGGAATGAATAAGTTTATTATCCACTTCTAACTCAAAAATTTTGAAGAAAAAAAAGGTTTTGGATATCTGGCTTAGAGGCAATATTATTCCTGCTAAAATATTGAGTTAAGATTATATATTTTTTATAAGAAAATTTTTAATCTTTTTTTTTGTTGTTGAATATTTTCAAAGTTTCCATTAAATAATTTGCTGTTTTTTTAGTTATATTTTATAAATTTTGGTTGTTTTTTTCCTGTTTTTTTTTGTATCCTACCATCTCTCATCTTTACGAGAAGCTAATGTTCTTAAAAGGTTCGATTTAAGCCAATTTTTAACAACGGCTAACTTAATATTTTAACCTAACCAAAAAAAAAAATTCTTTCTTTCTTTTCTTTCTTTCTTTCTTTCTTTCTTTCTTTCTTTCTTTCTTTCTTTCTTTCTTTCTTTCTTTCTTTCTTTCTTTCTTTCTTTCTTTCTTTCTTTCTTTCTATTTGTACCACCTATGAGGAATTAAGGCTTACATAATATTTTTCCTAATAAAATATTGAGTTAGCCGTTTTAAAAAAAATCGTCTCAAATTTAGCTGCGTTTTTGATGCAATTAAAAAAAATACAATGGTTGCATGCCATATATGAAATAACGTATCAAATGAATCATTATTTTTGATATAATTTGTAACCCCCTAAAAATAGCTTTAACTTTTAAGTAAAACAAAGAAATGGTGTAAAATACTGCAATATTTTAAGCAATTCTGAACTGCAAGCAATGCAGAAAGCTTAGACTTTTCAATTAAAATAATAACGATGGACGGAATTATGTATATTAGTGATCTGCATCGGTCCTAATTCTTCAACCCCGGCCCGAGCCCCAAAAAAGTTTGCCCGCCAGGCCCGGTTAGAACCCAAATTTATTTAAATATGGAAATTAATTTTTATGATTACTAAAAATAAAAGATTCCAAGGCCCGACCCCCGACCCAGCTCGAATTCTCTGAAAAAATATTCGACCCGACCCGGCCCTAATTCTCTGAAAAAATATTCGACCCGACCCGGCCCGAATTCTCTGAAAAAATATCCGACCCGACCCGGCCCGAACTCGATCATTATACAAAAAACTTAAAATTCGTACTATGAAATTTTAAGTTTACCTGCTTAAGGAACTAGAATTAAATATATTAGCTAGATATAAATATCTCACGCCAGCAGTTAGACAATTATTTAGAAAATATATATAGTTGTATCTTTTTTTATTAATAATTTAATGCCTGCTTTAAAAAAAAAAAGGATAATACGCAACCTGGCTCATATCTACCCTGGGGTCTTCGCAAGAAAATTGTTTTATCGTTTAAAAGAAAATTTGTCTGAAAGAATTTATTAGTTGAGGTTACCATAACATATATAAGAAGCATTTTTAAGCATCTTATTAAATATATACACTTTAAAAGAATTATATGGAGTAGTTGATATAAAATGGCTTCACTTGTACAGATTTTTTTTAAAAAAACGGCTAACTTCAGTTATTTTGTCCAGAAAACATATTATTACGCGAGTTTTAAAGATTTTGCTCAGCACGAAGGTTTGAGAACATCTTAGTAGCAGAAATCTAGAGTTCTAGGTTCGACCAAATATATTTCTGGCTAAATATACTAATCGGCTCAACTTGAACGAGCGGTTTTAGCGTCGACCAATCAAGACACGCCACGTAAAAAAACTTAAAAAACTTAATTTTGTAATTTTAATACGCGCAAGAGTGAGCGTTTTAGCGTCGACCAATCAAGACACGCCACAAAAAAAACATAATTTTGTAATTTTAATATGCGCAAGTTAATAACGTATTTTATACAATTAATTTTTTTTTTTGATACAAAACATAGAAACAATTATTCGATGACAAAAATTTATAATGATATCATTATTTACATTCATTTATTTATTTTCCAAAAAAAAC